CAGCATACACCTTACAGAGGTGGTCAGCATACACCTTACAGAGGGGATCAGCATACACCTCACAGAGGGGGTCAGCATACACTTTACAGAGGAAGTCAGCATACACCTTACAGAGGGGGTCAGCATACACCTTACAGAGGTGGTCAGCATACACCTTACAGAGGGGATCAACATACACCTTACAGAGAGGGTCAGCATACACCTCACAGAGGTGGTCAGCATACACCTTACAGAGGGGGTCAGCATACACCTCACAGAGGTGGTCAGCATACACCTTACAGAGGTGGTCAGCATACACCTTACAGAGGTGGTCAGCATACACCTTACAGAGGGGGTCAGCATACACCTTACAGATTGGGTCAGCATACACCTCACAGAGGGGGTCAGCATACACCTCACAGAAGTGGTCAGCATACATCTTACAGAGGAAGTCAGCATACACCTTACAGAGGGGGTTCAGCATACATCTTACAGAGGGGGTCAGCATACATCTCACAGAGGGGGTCAGCATACACCTCACAGAAGTAGTCAGCATACACCTCACAGAGGGGGTCAGCATACACCTCACAGAAGTAGTCAGCATACACCTTACAGAGGAGGTCAGCATACATCTTACAGAGGGGGTCAGCATACATCTCACAGAGAGGGTCAGCATACACCTCACAGAAGTAGTCAGCATCCACCTTACAGAGGGGGTCAGCATACACCTCACAGAGGGGTCAGCATACACCTCACAGAAGTAGTCAGCATACACCTCACAGAAGAAGTCAGCGTACACCTCACAGAGGGGGTCAGCATACACCTCACAGAAGAAGTCAGCCTACACCTCACAGAGGGGGTCAGCATACCCCTCACAGAAGTAGTCAGCATACACCTCACAGAGGTGGTCAGCATACACCTCACAGAGGGGGTCAGCATACACCTTACAGAAGTAGTCAGCATACACCTCACAGAAGTAGTCAGCATACACCTCACAGAGGGGGTCAACATACACCTCACAGAGGGGGTCAGGATACACCTCACAGAGGGGGTCAGCATACACTTTACAGATGAAGTCAGCATACACCTTACAGAGGGGGTCAGCATACACCTTACAGAGGTGGTCAGCATACACCTTACAGAGGGGATCAGCATACTCCTCACAGAGAGGGTCAGCATACACCTCACAGAGGGGGTCAGCATACACCTCACAGAGAGGGTCAGCATACACCTCACAGAGAGGGTCAGCATACACCTCACAGAGAGGGTCAGCATACACCTCACAGAGGGGGTCAGCATACTCCTCACAGAGGGGGTCAGCATACTCCTCACAGAGGGGGTCAGCATACACCTCACAGAGGGGGTCAGCATACTCCTCACAGAGTGGGTCAGCATACTCCTCACAGAGGGGGTCAGCATACACCTCACAGAGGGGGTCAGCATACACCTCACAGAGGGGGTCAGCATACACCTCACAGAGAGAGTCAGCATACACCTCACAGAGGGGGTCAGCATACACCTCACAGAGAGAGTCAGCATACACCTCACAGAGGGGGTCAGCATACTCCTCACAGAGGGGGTCAGCATACACCTCACAGAGAGGGTCAGCATACACCTCACAGAGGGGGGTCAGCATACTCCTCACAGAGGGGTCAGCATACTCCTCACAGAGGGGGTCAGCATACTCCTCACAGAGGGGGTCAGCATACTCCTCAAAGAGGGGGTCAGCATACACCTCACAGAGAGGGTCAGCATACACCTCACAGAGGGGGTCAGCATACACCTCACAGGGGTCAGCATACTCCTCACAGAGGGGGTCAGCATACTCCTCACAGAGGGGGTCAGCATACTCCTCACAGAGGGGGTCAGCATACTCCTCACAGAGGGGGTCAGCATACTCCTCACAGAGGGGGTCAGCATACTCCTCACAGAGGGGGTCAGCATACTCCTCACAGAGGTAATCAGCATACACGTCACAGAGGGGGTCAGCATACACCTCACAGAGGTAATCAGCATACACCTCACAGAGGGGGGTCAGCATACACCTCACAGAGGTAATCAGCATACACCTCACAGAGGGGGTCAGCATACACCTCACAGAGGTAATCAGCATACACCTCACAGAGGGGGGGTCAGCATACACCTCACAGAGGGGGTCAGCATACACCTCACAGAGGTAATCAGCATACTCCTCACAGAAGAAGTCAGCATACACCTCACAGAGGGGGTCAGCATACTCTTCACAGAAGTAGTCAGCATACACCTCACAGAGGGGGTCAGCATACACCTCACAGAGGGGGTCAGCATACACCTCACAGAGGGGGGTCAGCATACACCTCACAGAGGGGGTCAACATACACCTCACAGAGGGGGGTCAACATACACCTCACAGAGGGGGGTCAACATACACCTCACAGAGGTAATCAGCATACACCTCACAGAGAGGGTCAGCATACACCTCACAGAGAGGGTCAGCATACACCTCACAGAGGGGGTCAGCATACACCTCACAGAGGGGGTCAACATACACCTCACAGAGGTAATCAGCATACACCTCACAGAGGGGGTCAGCATACACCTCACAGAGGTAATCAGCATACACCTCACAGAGGTAATCAGCATACACCTCCCAGAGGGGGTCAGCATACACCTCACAGAGGTAATCAGCATACACCTCACAGAGGTAATCAGCATACACCTCACAGAGGGGGGTCAACATACACCTCACAGAGGTAATCAGCATACACCTCACAGAGGGGGGTCAACATACACCTCACAGAGGTAATCAACATACACCTCACAGAGGGGGGTCAACATACACCTCACAGAGGTAATCAGCATACACCTCACAGAGTGGGTCAACATACACCTCACAGAGGGGGTCAGCATACACCTCACAGAGGGGGTCAGCATACTCCTCACAGAAGAAGTCAGCATACACCTCACAGAGGGGGTAAGCAAACTCCTCACAGAAGTAGTCAGCATACACCTCACAGAGAGGGTCAGCATACACCTCACAGAGGGGGTCAGCATACACCTCACAGAGGGGGGTCAACATACACCTCACAGAGGGGGTCAACATACACCTCACAGAGGGGGTCAACATACACCTCACAGAGGTAATCAGCATACACCTCACAGAGGGGGGTCAACATACACCTCACAGAGAGGGTCAGCATACACCTCACAGAGAGGGTCAGCATACACCTCACAGAGGGGGTCAGCATACTCCTCACAGAAGTAGTCAGCATACACCTCACAGAGGGGGTCAACATACACCTCACAGAGGGGGTCAACATACACCTCACAGAGGTAATCAGCATACACCTCACAGAGGGGGGTCAACATACACCTCACAGAGGGGGTCAACATACACCTCACAGAGGTAATCAGCATACACCTCACAGAGGGGGTCAACATACACCTCACAGAGGTAATCAGCATACACCTCACAGAGGGGGTCAGCATACTCCTCACAGAAGAAGTCAGCATACACCTCACAGAGGGGGTCAGCATACTCCTCACAGAAGTAGTCAGCATACACCTCACAGAGGGGGTCAGCATACACCTCACAGAGGGGGTCAGCATACACCTCACAGAGGGGGGTCAACATACACCTCACAGAGGGGGTCAACATACACCCCACAGAGGGGGTCAACATACACCTCACAGAGGTAATCAGCATACACCTCACAGAGGGGGTCAACATACACTCACAGAGAGGGTCAGCATACACCTCACAGAGAGGGTCAGCATACACCTCACAGAGGGGGTCAGCATACTCCTCACAGAAGTAGTCAGCATACACCTCACAGAGGGGGTCAACATACACCTCACAGAGGTAATCAGCATACACCTCACAGAGGGGTCAGCATACACCTCACAGAGGTAATCAGCATACACCTCACAGAGGTAATCAGCATACACCTCACAGAGGGGGTCAGCATACACCTCACAGAGGTAATCAGCATACACCTCACAGAGGTAATCAGCATACACCTCACAGAGGGGGGTCAACATACACCTCACAGAGGTAATCAACATACACCTCACAGAGGGGGGTCAACATACACCTCACAGAGGTAATCAGCATACACCTCACATAGGGGGTCAACATACACCTCACAGAGGGGGTCAGCATACACCTCACAGAGGGGGTCAGCATACACCTTACAGAGGGGGTCAGCATACTCCTCACAGAGGGGGTCAGCATACACCTCACAGAGGGGGTCAGCATACTCCTCACAGAGGGGGTCAGCATACTCCTCACAGAGGGGGTCAGCATACTCCTCACAGAGGTAATCAGCATACTCCTCACAGAGGGGGTCAGCATACACCTCACAGAGGGGGTCAGCATACTCCTCACAGAGGGGGTCAGCATACACCTCACAGAGGGGGTCAGCATACTCCTCACAGAGGGGCTCAGCATACTCCTCACAGAGAGGGTCAGCATACACCTCACAGAGGGGGTCAGCATACACCTCACAGAGGGGGTCAGCATACACCTCACAGAGGGGGTCAACATACACCTCACAGAGGGGGTCAGCATACATCTCACAGAGGGGATCAGCATACATCTTACAGAGGGGGTCAGCATACATCTCACAGAGGGGTCAGCATACATCTCACAGAGGGGGTCAGCATACACCTTACAGAGGGGGTCAGCATACACCTTACAGAGGGGGTCAGCATACATCTCACAGAGGGAGTCAGCTTTCAGAAGTAGTTGTCCGTTGAGAACATATGACTGCCATCGTTGAGAACATATGACTGCCATCGTTGAGAACATATGACTGCCATCGTTGAGAACATATGACTGCCATCGTTGAGAACATATGACTGCCATCGTTGAGAACATATGACTGCCATCGTTGAGAACATATGACTGCCATCGTTGAGAATGAAGTTAACTTCCGAAAGCGACAACAGGAAGTTGATCAACTTTGGGGGTTCTGTAGTAAATTTATTCAATTAATATGTATATATATATATTTCTGACAGACGCAAACAGCGATACTTAC